CTGACAGAAATATGCCACAAATGGGATGGCCTTAACAAACAGGACTTTATTCTTACAGTTTGGAGGCTTTAAGTCCAAGTGCAAAGTGCCAGGCTCTAGGGGCTGGGTGAAAGCCCCTCAACCTTGGGGTCCAGCTCTGTCTCCTGCTCCTGGCCCACTGCAGCTAGAGGTGTTTCTTCACTCAGACAGCTGCTGGCTGCTGAGGCTGAGAAGCCCCAAGGTTGACAAATAAAAAGGCACAGTCCCAATGTTACCAAACCACACGGCAGGCCATTAACTTCAGTCCATTGTAAGTCCCAAGGTCAGCAGAGCATAGCGGCTACATGGAGGGTCCAAGCATGCCATAGGCTAGAGACCATTCTCAAGGCTTCTCCTTATATACAGGGAGCAGACCACATCCCAAAGGCAGCTACTCAGCTGCTTGTGGTAGGTCCCCCATGGAGTTGATTGCCAGTCTCATCATGGAGAATAACTACCACCAGCTGCCCTGCCACTCAACCAGGCCCAGCCAAGTTGACACACGAACATAACCATCACAAACTGCACCAGCATTTAGTTGGGTGGCTCACCGCTTTCCTTAGGGCACAGAATTTACAAGGTGCTTTGGGGTTTAGGGAGCATTTTCCAGTGTCCACAGGCTGTCAGCTTGCGGGGTAGTTCCCAGGTGAACAGGTGCTGGGGAGTCCTCTCAAAGCTAGCGCCACCCAGCTCAGTGGCGTGAAGCTCAGAGGTGAGGGGTACCCTCTGCAGCCCTGTCTCTTGGTGTGGGGAGCTCACTTAGGTGGAGGGAGACTGCACCTGCCCGGATCACACACCTGGAAGAGAGGGGGCCGGGCTGAACTGGACCCCCTCACTGCCACGGCACCCCGTCGCTGCCACTGCACCCCCTCGCTGCCACGGCACCCCCTCGCTGCCACGGCACCCCCTTGCTGCCAGGGCACCCTGTCACCGCCACGATCCCTGGATGATGGCACAAGTCTTAAATCTGCAGACGCTGTGAATGCTTTGCTAAAATGCGCACTCGCAGCCCCGTCCCAGCGCTGTGGAGATTGATGATTTGCTGTGGGGCCAGGAGATGTGCATTTTTGCCGGTTCCCGGCTGCTCTGTGTCCATCGAGCCCAACCCCATCCATGCAAAGTCAAGGCTGTGAGCACGGGGTCCCCTCCGCTGAGTCCCCTCCCAGCACTCAGTGAGGCCGAGGCTTGGTCACTGTGAGGTGTGGATGGTTTCCAGATTCCGATTCTAAAGTTGGGGGCTGTGGGGCAGGGCAGACTGGTCTCCCAGGGCCGCTGTATGCAACCCCCAGAGTGGGGGCTTACAATCGCAGCTGTGTTCTCTTACAGTAGCACAGGCTGGAAGCCTGAAGTCAGGGTGGCAGCTGGGCCTGCCTCCCTCCGGGGGCTCTAGGGAGCATCTGTCCCTTGCTCATCTCCCAGCCTCTGGTGGTGGCTGGTGACCCTTGCTGCTCCTCAGCTCAAGGCAGCCCCCCACCCTCTGTCTTCACGGGCGTCTGCCTTCTTACAAGGACTCGGTGCTGGACTTAGGGCCACCTCACAACACAGCAGGAGCCCCTCATCTCCAGTCCCTTCACTCATGGTGTCTGCAAAGACCCTATTTCCAGGTAGGCCGCAGGCACAGGCTCCAGGATTGGATGTGGACTGTCTTTCCCCCGCTCCGCTCAGCCCACTGCCCATTGGTGCCCTGAGCTTTGGGACTTGGAGTCTGATCTGTGGCCGAGCCCCGGCATTCTCTGTCTGCTCAGGGGTCCTCAGCGCCCAGCGAGCCGCAGGATCCCCCAAGGGCTTGTTAGACAGGGACTCACCTCAGCGTGGCTGGGTGGGGCCGCGCACCTGCCCGACGCTTCCCCGGGTGCTGACGCTGCTGCCTCTGGCCCCGCAGGTGCGGACGAAGGACGTGCTGTTCGAGAGCATCAGCCATCTGATCGACTACCACCTGCAGAACGGGCAGCCCATCGTGGCCGCCGAGAGCGAGCTGCACCTGCGCGGCGTGGTCAAGCGCGAACCCTGAGCAGGCGTCACAGGTGCGTATGGGGCGCCACCTGCTGGCCAGTGTTCTCATTGAAAGAAAACGGAGCAGGGAAACCTGCTTAGAGTAGACAGCTCAGGAGTTTCCGGTGCATTCTCCTGGCCGTGCAGGCAGGACCTGTGTCTAGTTCGGGAACATTCCATCATGTGACGTTTTATGCCTGGCTGCTCTGGTAGCATAGTGCCTAAGGCACTTGACTGCTAACCAGAAGGCTGGCGGTTCAAACCCACCAGCCACTCCTCGGACGGAAGGTTGGGCATTCCTACTTCTGTAGTGATACTGCAGTAGTGATGGTGCAGCCAGAATGCTCCTTGGAAGCGAGAATGGCCAGACTTTGTCTCACCTACTTTGGTCATGTTGTAAGAAGGGACCATTCCCTGGGGAAGGATGTCATGCTTGGTAGGGTGGAGGGTCGGCGAAAGAGGGGGAGGCCTTCAAGGAGTTGGATTGATACGGTGGCTGCGATGATGGGCTCAGGTATAGCAGGGATTGTGGGGCTGGCGCGGGATCGGGCAGTGTTGCGTTCTGCTGTGCATGGGGTCGCTATGAGTCGGAAACGACTCGACGGCACTTAACAACAACAACAACAACAACTGCCTGGGAAACCCAAGGAGGGGTTGCTATGAGTCGGGGCCGACTTGATGGCAAATAACAACAACAACAACAAGCTCTCCCCAACACCGTGATTTCGAGGTTCATCCACGTTGGAGCTGAGCACTGTTCACGGGCCACGTTGTTTATCGTTCAGCTGCGGATGGACACGTGGGCTGTTCGCCTCTTTGGCCATGCCATCGGGCTGCTGGGAACGCTGGCGTCCGGGTTCTGTGCACAGACCTTTGATTTCTCTGCGGTGTATAACTGGGCGTGCAATTGCTGGGCTGCGTTTCACTCTGTCTCAGACATGGGATTTGGACTTCCCTCCTGGCTGCTCTGCCTTCCTTCTAGAAGGATGGGCACAGGTCCGTTGTGGGATCCTTGGGACTGTGGCTCCCAGGGCGGAGATGGTGGGCTGTCCTTGGAGGGAGCCGCGTGGCCCGGGGCTGGCAGGGCCTAGTGTGGCTGCAGGTAGGCAGGATGAGGAGCCGAGGCTGGGGAGGGTAGGACATCTGGTGCTCGCCGCCACTCTGGTCAGACCGGTGGGAGAGGGAGGCGAGTCGGCCGGGTGTCCGGGTGGGAGAGGGTGGGGGTGAGCTGGGAGGAGGAGTGGGGGCTGGGCACACACTGAAGAGCAGCAGTGGGAGCTGGGGGATGGGAGGCCAGGAGCTGGGGGCTGGCGGTGGAATCTCCCTGGGGGCTGAGTAGGGGAGGAGTTCCTGGTCCAGGATGAGCAAGCATTCTCCTGTCCTGTCCTGTCCAAGGGGCCCTTCTGCCTCCTCCTTCCTGGGCATCCCCTCTCCCCCCCACGCGGCCGCTGGCGCCACCACCTGCGCCCTCCACCATCCAGGCCTTGGGCTGCAGGCAAGGGAGGGTCGTCCCTGGGGGTCAGCTTCAGGATGGGGGGCCTATGAGACCCCATAAACCTCTGCCCCACTCTGGGCCCGTGAGTCCCTCATCTGCCATGTTCCCAGTTCCCAGGAGCTTGTGACCTGGCCAGTCATGCTGACAGCAGTCACAGAAGCTGCAGAAGGCCCCTCTGGGGCCAGGACCTGGGGAGGTGGTATTGGCTGCATTCCTGCTGTGTGCCTGGGGCACAGTCCGGGAGGTGGAGGCGCTGTCCTGGGGCCATATCGCTGCTCCAGAGCTCACTTGGAGCGGGAGAGAAGCCCTTTGGTCCCGTTGATGCAGAAACGCAGGGTGTGGTTGTCTGGAAGCTGGACCTTGAGCTCAGGCTCTTCTGGGATTGGGGTGACTGTCTCAGCTGACCCCTGAGCTCTGCTTTCTCTCCCCAGGTGGTGGACCTCACGGCTCCTGCCCCGTTCCCAGAGCCCTGTGGCCTTACGAGCTCTCAGCCGGACCGCCGCTGTCCCTCCCTCCTTCCGCATGAGCGTCTGGAATCACCCTCGTCCACCAGCCCTTGGGGGGCAGGGGCAGCCCGCTCTGCCCTCCGCCCGGGGTGAGGCTGTGTATACCAAAGACGGAACCTCTTCTCGCCTTTAAGAGTCCACTGAGAGCAGGCCTGTGTGGGACCTAGCCTTGGGTGCCAGACCTGCCCGGATGGAGGCACCCCATCTACTTCTCCTGGGCTCGGCCCCATTTATCTCCTGAGAAAGTGAGGGGCCCCATGGCTTCCTCCCCTGGCTGGCTCAGTTTCTCCTCCTGAGAAATTGTTGCCTTTTTTGGGGAGAATTTAGGTGCTTTGGGGTTCTCAGGCTGGACATGTGTTGACGTTACAGTGGGGCAGCCTTGGGATGACGGGGCCTCCGTGATAGTAGATGAGGGGCAGTGGTGCGTCCCTGGCTGTGAGGATGAGGAAGAAGAGGACATGGCTGCCTGGCCGGCATGCCACCCACCTCCCCGTCCTCCCAGCTGCTACCCTGGACTGGACATGTGGAGTCTGTTTGGAATTAAACCTGGGAATGACCTTGAGGCTCCTGAGCCGCCTGCACATACTGGGCCCTGGCAGGTGTGGTGGGTGAGCCCCCAGCAGGAGCTGAGGGGGAGGCGCGGGGCACATCCCGGCCCCCGACTCGGCCTCCTACGGGTGCAGCGGCAGAGGGCGCCTGCAGTCAGAGGAGAGAGAGCCGGACCTAGGGGTGCACCCGTGTTGTGGGGAGTGTGTAGGACGATGCTGATGTCCCCAGGACCCCCAACATCTCAAGATCTCAGACGCCCTTATTTTTTACCCCAAGATAAAACTTCTAACTTCTCTATTCCAACTTCTCTATCAAATACACCCCCACCTTCCCTTCAGAAGCACCCTGCTTTATTTCCCAACGCTGCACATCCCTGGTTAACAGCCCAAACGTATGAGGACACTGCTCACTTCTCCCCACGTGTGACCTGACTCCCCAGCCCTCTGTGTACTTGAGACGTCACCAGTCTTCCAAGACCCCCGTCTCCCTCCGTGCCGCCTTTTCCATCTTCTCCGTCTGTTCAGTCTCAGACACCCTACTTCTATTCTTTAGACCTACGCTTACATTGTTTCTAAGGAACTCTGACAGCACAGTGCCTAAGACATTTCACTGCTAACCAGAAGGTTGGTGGTTCAAACCCATCAGCTGTTCTGGGGAGGGAAGACTGGGCAATCTTTCTGTAAAGATTTACCACCTCAGAAACTCAATGGGAATCGCTATGAGTCGGAATTGACTTGGCAGTGGGTTTGGTTTTTGTTTTGGTTTCACATTATTTCCGGATTCTAACCCCAAGGAGACCCTGTTTTTCCCCGGCCCTCCTCTGGTTCCTCCCACGAACATGGTGGCATCTCTCCCCAGGAAGTCTTCTACCCACGTCACGTCCCTGGTGGGGTCACACATCCATCAGGGGTGAGGGCAGAGGCCGCTGGGGTCTGGATCTCTGGCCGGGGAGGCCCCCTCTGAGGTCTGCAGGCCGCACCCCATGCCATCAGGGGTGGAGAGTGAAACCCTCTCTGACCTGTTCTTAGTAGGGGTGATGTCACTGAAAGCAGAGCTAGAAGGGGACTTGGGTGTTGTCAGTTTCAGAGACCTGGAAGCTGAGAGCTCTCCATCCATCCATCCACCACCCACCACCCACCTCCTGATCCACGTGTCCATCCCTTCAGCTACCAACCCATCCATCATTCTAGCAGTCATCCATCCTCCTAACAGTCCATCAGGCTAACAGCCAGCCAGCCAGCCAGCCAGCCAAATGTCATTCATTTCCTCTATCTGCCCACCCACCCATCCATTTATCCACCCCACCATTCATCCATCGTTCCATCTATCAGGGTAACAAGCATGCACCCCCATTCCATTGACTGACTCAACTGTCCCTCTTCCCATCCACCCCCTCACCCATCTCTCTATCCATCCATTCATTTATCCACCCTTCCATTCCCCCACCATTCCATCGACTGATTCAACCATCCATCTTCCTGTCCTGTCCATCTTCCTGTCCACCCACCCCTCCATCCGTCCATCCGTTTATCCACCCCCCCATCCATCCACCATTCCATCTGTCGGTCTAACAGCCACCATTCACTTCATTGATCCATCTACCCACCCATCTTGACATTCTTTAGCAAGCCTTCGTCAGTCAGCTCTCCTGTCTGCCAAGAGCTCTTGCAGGCACTGGGATGCAACTGTGACCACAGTCAGGTGACATTATTCAGTGACTCATCCACCGACTATGCTGACAACTGTGAAGAGGAGAGTCGTGGTGCTCAGAAGTCTCAGCGTGTCTAGGAGGGTCCCCTGCAGGAGTGATGGGTGCTGGGGACTGGAGGAGGAAGGGCGAGTCCAGGTGAAGAGGGAGGCCTTCTGGGTGGCAGCTATGGCCCATGCAAAGGCCCTGTGGCATGTGGAGCGTGGGATATTCAGGAGACAGATGGGTGGCCAGTATGGCTGGATGTGAGATCTGAGGGTGCAACGGGCACAGGGCACAGAGCTTAGCAAGGCTCAGTGACAGAGTAGCTGTCCCGGGCTGGGGGTGGTGAGAAGCACCCAACCACAGATCTTTGCACCAGGTGGGTCTGAACGCACCCACTCATTCATAGCTCTGTCCTCCGGGACCAGCCAGTCCCCATCCTCACAGTCCCTGTGAGGTATCCCCACTGTGGTGGGGCTGAAAGCTATAGAAACTTGGGGTCCTCAGACTCCCCACTTTGGAGATGAAGAAAGGGAGGGGGATCAGTGAGGCGGATGACTTGTTCCGACCACAGGCTGCGCCACCAGAGCTGGGATTCAAACCCCACCTTGTCCCAGCTGTCCATGAGGCAGAACAGCCTCTCAGGCACCCAGTCCTGCAGGCTGTGGGCGGAGCCCAGATGCCTGGGTGTAGCACGGCTCTACCACCCAGTAGTCGCTCAACAAACCCTCTTGGGCTCAGCCTCGTCCTCAGGGAGCCTGGGGGAGGGGCCGAAGAGA